TATGATGCAGACCTGTTGGGTTTGCCATTTGCCAACCAAGGGCAAGAGAGACAAGGGAAACGATATCTTTACTGCTTATCTCTTCGACCAAGGCTCATTTCTAGCTTGAGACAATATTTACGGCCTAGTTATGGGGATCTTAGCAACCATTCGGAACACTTTGCCCGCGGATACATCAAGCAAATTTTACAGATCGACACACACACACACACAAAGCCTAACAATAAGGTGTAGACAATGGTGATGACTTGATGGAGCTTGCGTGTCACATATGCGTGACGTACTGGCTGAAATTAAAAAATCGGTGCATTACATGTCTGTGTCGACGGTATTGGTAATGGTGATGGTGTAAATGCAATTTACTGGTATACACGCACCGAAAAGTTGCATGGACATCCATGCATTTGGACAACTCCTCTCCAGCATACTCGGGTGTCAGGATGAAACCAACAGAATTACTCGAGGTTAACTTTCCAACCACTTTTGGACTTTTCCATCAACTGATACATCACAAGATTTGCAAAGCAGATGACTTTGTGCTCGCATTATGCGCCCTTCTTTCAGTCCCCCTTCTCCCACTCTTCCCCTCATCTCCAATGCATGGCGAGTTATTCAAAGAACCCCTTCTTTGATGTAGGACGGCATGAAGATCACGGCTATCTTCACTCCCTACCAATCGTAAAGGACGGCTTACTTACCCGACGGATTAAACTGGAGCATTCCAGTGTTAGAGAGGCGAAGACTTGTAAGCATATTTTAATCATTTTGCCCTTATTTCCACTTGCGGTGTTGGACACCCGCTCTGATGTGATTGGTCAGGAAAAACATTACCAATGCAACTGATCTAAGCATTATGGGGAGTCAAAGCTTCTCTCCTCCTTGTGGTGTGAGGCAAAGACGTTCCCTCGTCTTCTCGGTCACGAGCTAGAAACAGTCTGCCCAACTGCTACTTAATTACCCGCTTAAGTAGCACATTCAGACGGACACATTTTGAAATACGTTGAGATCCCCTGTTCTTTCCACTAGACTATTTTGAAAAATTTCCCACCACAAATGATTTGCAATTCAAACAAATCATGCAGGCATCTACCACTTGTAACTCGAACTTGCAGTCTAGTGGATCTACGTTGACATTTGGGTGAATCAAGTGATATGCATGACGTGACAAATTGTTTGCATGCAGTTGCTACCGTCATTTGTGTCACGTGGTCACTGAAGCGACCTCAATGAGAGTGGTAATGGAGACATGTTGTAGAATCCCACGCGAATTCAACTACTGAATACAGTCTTCAGGATCCTTAATTTAGAAGCAGAGTACCTTTTGTCAATTACTTGGGGGAGGTATTTCAATTAGTCAGTTGGATCACTGTTGAGGCGGTGCCTAAGACATGTGTTGGCAGAGGGTTTTTTCAAGATCGCCTTCTGAATGCTCCGAGAAGGGACTACAATTTGATGCCCATTCAAGAGAGAGGAGATTTACGGGCACGTTCACTGGACAAGTGTCGTTCAAATCAAGCCCAGAAGTTGAGATTTTTAGGTGTCAAAATGGATGCTACACATGAAGCGACAATTGTCGTGGACTATCAAGAGGCGCATATCCCGACCCGAAATCCCACAGGAGGAGCATCTGCCCACTGCGGAGTAGTGAACATCATCATCATTTCCACGTTCCGACTTTGACTAGCGTAGAAGACTTGAATGGGCTACCTCTGACAGGGAGAATGGAGCCATGCGGTCTACGGGTGGTTTATTTGGGCCAACAAGTCATCTAAAAGGCCAAAGTTTCCCTCATAGTGCCAACCAACCAACCAACGAAGACTGCGACAAGCTTCAAATGAATGGAGCAAAGGGCTGGGTGAAGACAATAAAATTGAAATTTTGCTTTACTTTTCATCCATCCAAATCTCCCCGTTTCAGGAAAGTTGAATTTTTACTGGGGATTTAATACTGCCTGCTACCAACACAGTGATGTAGGCGAAACCTGTGTTTGATGAATGACCTTCTAGCCCCCGTTGGCAGTGGATCTTTCTTTTGGGAAGGCAAGCTGAAATCCACATTTGTCTGTTAACAGTCTGATAGCATATTTCACTTCTCTTTTGCCTTGTTAGTGCCACAATATTTGAAAAAAAATGCGAAGAGGAAGAACGGTGGTAGCTTCCTCGCAAATTCCTCCAATGCTTCAGGTCCCAATTAAGGGGGCCATTTTGTGCTAGGTGGATTACCATTCCAACCCTTTTGTTACATTTAAGCGACCCATTGGAAGAAAGACCTGAAATGTGGGCTACAACTAACTGCAAGCTTCGTGGACTGCTGAAATTCATGTGACTGCCTGCATGCACGGATGTGGGTCACACGATCGGTACAGGCCGTTCTCATCGTTCTCTCCCCTACTTTCCGACCCATTTTGAACCATCATATCAATAAAAAATATTTTTCTGACGTGTAGGATGTCAATCAAGTTTATCAGGTTAACAATTTGACTTCAATTCGGTTCCAGATTTTTGGAAGCACCTCGTAAAACCCGTTTGGATCGGTTGGAGGGGAGTGGAAATGGCGAAGGGGGCACGCAAGGGGAGATGATGGGTGAGGTCCTCAGCCCCCTGGTGATGGAGAATGCTGTGTCACTCGCACGTCAACACACATCCAATTCAATCACACTGACACATCAATAGGAAATGGAAAGTGGTGGATGGGGAAGTGAACAAAATTAGGTGACAAGAGCCTACAAGGGCTGCCAGTTCGCTCTCGGCTTCTCGCAATTACTTTGTTTCCTTTGCTAAATGACCAGCTGATGAATGCCTGACAGGCTTGTGATGAGAAACAGATTCCAAATTTCATAATTTGCCAGGTTGACGAACTTAGCCTTGCTGATCCCCACAAAAATCCACTCAATGTTCACCCCATAGTTGTGGAACCCGCACCACCTCATCTTCAGAGCACAAAGCCTAGTGTGTGGTATTCTCGAGCTGCAAACATCCCCAATTCGCCTCGATACTGTGCAGGACAAACTCCTCCTTAGGAGGAAGTCTGAACTTGTACATTAGTGAGAAGGATGTTGTCTTCTCCTTCAAGATAATGCAAGAGCTGACGCCTCAAAGCTACGCCTTGGGAATGTGTGTACGTAAGGGTGGACAACAGGAGGACACTGCTTCATCCCAACTCCAATTACGTGATCATGTGCCACAGGGGTACTTGACAATTCAAAGTAAAAACGGACTTTTGTTTCCAAAGACAAAACACTGTAATTTAGGGGCCCTAAGCTTGTATCTCGGTGAGAAATGTAGATAGTTTGTGGCAATGACTACTTTACCAGATACAATATCTAAAGAATTTTTCCTTATTGCCTTTTTTTCAGGTATTTTTCCCAATTTCTCGACCACGCATTATTGAAAAAGTTTAAATAAATAAATCTTCAAGATACTGACAATGGATCACCAATTTTAGCGTTCAAAAAAACAACACCCCACTGGAGAGGCATTGGCGACTTGTCACAGCCAATAGGCGATCAACGCGACAATGTCGGTGCGCACAAAGGTGCAATCGGATTGGGTAATCACATGACCCCTTTTAATAAGTAGTACTTTCTGCTGTTTGTACTACCCAAGCCTTATTTAAAGACACTCTAAAGTATTAACCATTCTAGAAGTGGACTTATTATGAAAGTACAGAAGCCCCAAGAGACTTAGCATGGGGGTAGCATGAGCAAGTCGAAGTAGTCTACTAATAATACTGTCAGTAGTATCTGCAGCAGTTGCATCAAAATACTCTGCAAAGCATACACAAGTACAAAAAACGTTTCTTAACTTTTAAATTAAAAAATTTTCCATCTCTCTCGTAGCTCGCCTTTAACTTTGGGTGTTTTCCCCAAGTGTTTAGTAACTTATCATCGACTTCGACCACTCGAATCTATTCAAGTCGCCATCGAGCCTGTATCGGAGATCTCACCGTGGTCCCTCATGAAGGAACAGAGGCACTTGACCTTCTTGCAAGTGAGAAAACTCGCAAGGCTGGAAAGATTGCCAGCAATTTTCCCTTTTTGAATAGTTTTGTGGGAGATTCGTGGGTCTGCGCTTCTCAATGTTGAACGATTTTATTCATCGAGATCACTTCCATCACTTAGGCTTTAAAAAATTTTATGCCACAGCCACAATTACTTGCCATCTTATCACCTATTTCTTTAGAGCTACTGTCCGAGTAATGTTTTGAATGCATCCGAATCGTGTCTCCTTTTTCCTGAAGCCATTGTGAGCGGCTCGAGATTTGTGTCACCGCTGACAGTCCAGGCGAATTTCCACATTCTTATCCATGTCAAATGGTTAATCTCTAGCCAAAGATATGTGGAATATCTTTACATAGTGCACATATCTGAGGCTAACTTTATCTGCGGTTAGCGTTTATCACAAACTGATCAGGAAAATGCGTCACATATTTGTGACGTGACGACTTAAGCAAGGAAATTGAGGCATCATATAATCGTGGCAATGGCAGCAATCGTGTCAACCTGGCAATAAAGCAATGAAATGTTGGCAGAATTTTTCGACTATCACGACGCTGACGTCCATTTCGCTACTATCGTGTGATCGGGAATGCTGTCTAAATGTCAAAAGCCGTGATAGTACACATACAAATGCAAATGTGGGTAAATGTTAAACCACTCCGATTTGTTGTATTTTTTAGTGCAGGCGGGGCAATACCGCTTTGAAGGTCACGTTCTGAGTTAATGGATCGTCTCCTCCTTCGCGATATCCGGTCGGCATTTCTGCTGGTCGAGGGTCCACGACAACTGCCACTAACTTCTGATGTGTAGCGCCTGCAAAATTAAAAGTTGAGACTTGACTAGAACGACAGCTGTCCAGTGGACAGATTCGTAAGTCTTCTCTTCACTGAATCGTCGCATATGGTAGGCCAATCTTGGATCGTGCAGAACGGAACCTTGTTGCTTTGAGAGCAATCCAAACGATAAAATTGGGCAAACAAATAACAAAATTACTTGATTGCTGTGCTTCTGAAGGTACTGGAATATCCACAACCCTACAAAAATCATTTTCAGTTCAAAGTCTCCGAATTTTTGCATCAGGAAGTTGAGTCAGTGGATAGTCTAGAGCTTTCCTCCATCTACACTCTCCCTGAGTTCGCCTTGGAGACCAGTGCAACGTGGGAACCCTCTCCATATGAACTAAAAATCGCTATAATGTTCTAAAATCCACGTATTGAGTACGCTACTTAATTAACTATTTAAGTAGCAAGTGGGAGGACTGCATTGAGCACATGATCAGGGAGAGGAGGAGGAGTCGTTGACCAACACCACAAAGAGGAAAAAAGCTGCAAATTCCTTAGAAGCCCTAGGTAGTTTCTGTAAACAACGTCGGAATGCTCTCCTCTAACCAACCTCTTCAGTCACCGGGTCTGACACCGCAGGTGGAAGGGAAATACGACTGCCATAATTCCCCTCTCATCCGGCATGTCCTTCTGAATTGGCATCAAATTGACAGCTATGGAGTGAAGATGATAGTTGTATTTACGCTGGTCCCACATCGAAGAAGGGCGTCCTTTCATCATTGACTGCGCGTTGGGAATGATGAAGAGGGGGGGTGGGCAGGGAGAGGGAGTGGAAATGAGGAAGAGACATGTGACAGGAGCAGAAGTTTGTCTGCTTTAGCAAGCGGTATGTAAATAAAGTTAGTCCTGACCTCAGTTGATAAAATCAGCTCGAAAATCGTCCTAACATTGATATGACCTTAATCGCGGGGCATTCTGCTATGGCGTCCTGACACTAGCAGGTGCGGTCATGCAATCGTGCGGTCCATGTGCAAGCATGGCATGAGGATGCATTAACACCGTCGGCACCACTACCACAACCGTCCTCACAGGCAGGTAACGACCCCCGTTACCTCAAATCAGCCAGTGCGTCACATATATGTGACATGCGTGCACTATCAGGACATGGCCATTGTTTACATTGCATCGTCAGATCTCTGGGTGTGTTAGGGCCTGTAAAATTTGCTTGTTACACCCACTTATGAAATGTCCTGGCTATGTTAGTAAACTTTCCATCGAGATTTCGGTAGAAAGGGAGTGAAAATTGTCCAGAGTTAAAACTGAGCAGTGGTGGAAATTGGAGTGAGTTAACTTTTACGGAAATAAACAGTCAAATATTTTGTTTCTCCTATCTTTCTTGCCCTTGTTGACAGTCGAGAAATCCAACAGGCTATCACCAAAATCACGTCATACGACAACTGAGTAAATTCGTGGGATGACAGTAGGACAGGAATTAGGTGGGCAGTTCCTTCGGTCTCGAGAATTCTGGACTTCCAACGTCTGTGCATGACTTCGAAACCAATGACATTTGAATTGACATTGTAGGTCAGGGTTTCATCTCATCTTACACATTTACTTCCTAAATCACTCAGTAATCTTCTGGGTCAATGGGAGGAGGAGGAGGAGGAGGAGGAGGAGGAGGAGGAGGAGGAGGAGGAGGAGGAGGAGGAGGAGGAGGAAATGCCGCAGTGTCGCACTGACCATCACATGTTGCCTTAAACCCGTAAAAAGTGGGCACAAAGGAAGAGAAAATTGATGGGGAAATGCCTACAACTCCCCCCACCTCCTCCACACCCACATCTTCACTCCCACTAACCAAAGTAGTGGCAACCGGTTTCATTCATCGCAAATACCACAACACAAGTTTGGGAGGAGGGGGAGAGGAGGCAGGGGAGGGAAGGGAGACATTTTATTGGCCATTTGCGTGTCCATAAGGCCACAAGAGGGCGAGGCTGTAAGGCCACTTGACCCATTGCTGATGCTAATTTTGACACCACCACCACGACTGCCGCCGCCAACACCACACCGGCCAACCACTCCACCACGGTAAATGCCACCTCATGCATTCCACCTCCTCCCCTTCCCCTCCCACACCATCAGTGAAAGGCCGCTGGTTGTGTGGAATTCTTTGCACGTCAAGGTGACCGCTCATTGGTTGGTTGAGGTGCTCCTTGACATTCTGCTCCACTTGCAGGTGGGAGTGGGATGATGGAGTTGTAAACGGATCTTGGCGTTCCCACATTGAAGTGCCAAGTACATGCAGTGACTGAGACGAGGACATTGGGGCGAGGAGTTGGAAAGACATGCGCAGGTGTGTAGGCGATTGGAGGAGGTGTTCCTTGGATTGGGTAACCAGAACCACATGGCAGAAGACGGCACAGTGGAGAACGTTTTCTGCTCCACTACAGGAGGAACATGGTTGTTTGGGTGTGCCCTTCAGACTCTCCACGATCGGTACCTCTGATTGGAAGACGCGACATTTGAGCCGAAGCCAGGACCTTGCAGCTCCCCTTAAGGCCGCTCATCTGTCGTTCCTCTGCAGGAACGTCTGTGCGAAGGATGGGTGTGTGCTGCTCACTCCTCCTACCTCCTCCTACAGTGAAGGTGATTGCCAGTCAAAGCTGTCAAATCATTGATTCGTTTGTTTGGAAGGACTTGAATGACTTGTGTTTACTATCTTCCTGGAATGTGGGAATCGAAGAATGCAGAAACTAGCAGATTCCTCGAATTGATGCAGTGTTGATGGTTTGGTGGCACCCATCTGACATGGAAAGGAGAGGAATGAGACAAGAGGGGTGACAAAACTTGATGCGTTGGACAGTCAGTCGATTCACCAGTCTTGAGGCAAATCCGATTGTTGTCACTTTGCACAACCAAGGTGACGTCTTCTCACCATTCAAGACACAGGAATCAGGATCCAGAATTCATGGAGATCCTATATGCCAGATAAGCGGCAGGCGTTGAGTAGCATTTGCCTTCCAATTCTTTCCTCATGTGAAGAGCACTTTCCTGACAGAGCCGCGAATTCTCACCAAGTTTTGTTGAAAGGTACTCCAGTGGGCAGGAAAGAGGTGAAAGGGGAATTGTAAGAGTGGCGATGTTAGTTGGGTAGAAGGAGCGATGTCACAGGATCGGAATCTGCCAGATCGTCAGCAAGAAAGCGGCTTGTGGATTGTTCGTATGACCCTGTGAAACAGGCCCTCCACCGACTTCCCCATTGCCCACCGCTGCCGATGTCATTTCCATGCCCATGTCGGTGTCAGTGGTGGTGTTTGTGCTCTCAGCGGTGGTGGCGGTGGCGGTGGCGGTGCTGGTGTAGATGATGCCACTACGTGCGCTTGTGGTTGTACAACAGCATAATTCCAAAGACACTCCCCT